AGTAGTCTGGAAAGGTTAAGAACTACTGGTTTACATGACAGTTGTAGCTCAGATTTCTGATTTAGGAGATTTAGATAGTTTAGAAAATGTTCAGGGAAGCATCCCAACTTCCAGATTATTTTCCAAATCAAACCTCTGAAGCTTCTGGGGTTCATTCATCACTAGTTTGGGGCCTGATCCAAAGCTTGTTGAAGTTAATGGAGTCTTTCTAGTTGAGTTCAATGAACACTGAATCAGGCCTTTACAGAATATTGCCTATTTGTTAAACCTAGCCAGCAGCTTGAACAAGCTTTTTCTTCTTACATGATTATATGAAAATTGCTTGATTTTTTTTTTTTAAAATGGGACATAAGGGCTCCATATTAGGTTGATGTTGAGTGTTGTCTGCTACACTGTTAATCAGATGAGCTTTTATTTTTCTTCTAATGAAGTATTTTCTTTTAGTATTCATTAGTAATCTTAACACACAAGGAATACATCTCTTTGCCATTAAAAGTCATCCTTCTGTAAAACATAATCCCAATGTTCTTAGGGACCTGTCAAAGAGAGTCAGAGAGATTGTCAAAATGTCCAAACTGTGACTTAAGGGAATCTATGAACATTCCAATAGTCATCTTTTCTGATACATTTAAAAATAGTTATCTGGATATATGTAGAGAGAGGGTTGTATGAAAATATCCTCCTATCTGTCTTGCTTTAAATGTCATTTTTACAAGAGAAAACCTTTTCTAATGAATGCCATCCATACCTATGAGAGGTGATATTGATAGATGTGTCACCTTTTTATCACAAAAGCGCTTGATGTTAGATGTTAGGTTTTATAGGGAAAATGTTAACCCTTTTGATTTTAATGTGGAAGGTAACCACTGAAGTTGTTTTTGTCTTCTATATAGTGGAAAAGGTGATTTTTTTCCCCCCATGTATGTTTGAGTTTCATCTTTAGATGAATGTTTACCTTTTGTACATTGGTTCATATGCTGACAGGAAAGCTTTTAATGCATATTTTTATTTGTATTAGTAATATTGTATGCATCCTCATCCTCATAAATAACTTGTATAGATCTTCCTTTCATTTGAGGATCTATATAATAAATTAGACACATCATCTCTGTAAAGACAATAAATATACAGATTTTACAGAGGGATAAACTCATGCACAGAGAGGTTAAGTGATTTGCCCAAATCCATACAATGAGGTGGTGACATAACTGGAAGTAGTCTTGGAACCTTGACATCCCCATCCAATCCCATGCTGCTAGTTCTTAAATAGGCAGCAATTCTATAAAACTCGTAAGCCATCAATGTATAGTTAAACAGAAGTTATGGGCTTGATTCTGAAACTACTAGGTGAGGGTCTTTGGCCCATGTTATGCATGTAGCTGAGCTGCGACTGCTAGTAGCAGATATCCCCAATGGCCAGTGATGGGACACTAGATGGGGAGGGCTCTGAGTTACTACAGAGAATTCCTTCCCAGGTGTCTGGCTGGTGGGTCTTGCTCACATGCTTGGGGTTCAACTGATTGCCATATTTGGGGTCAGGAAGGAATTTCTCCCTAGATCAGATTGGCAGAGACCCTGGGGTCTTTTTTGCCTTCCTCTGCAGCAAGGGGCATGGGTCACTTGCAGGTTTAAACTAGTGTATATGGTGGATTCTCTGTAACTTGAAGTATTTAAATCATGAATTGAGGACTTCAGTAACTCAGCCAGAGGTTAGGGGTCTATTACAGGAGTAGGTGGGTGAGGTTCTGTGGCCTGCAAAGTGCAGGTGGTCAGACTACATGATCATGATGGTTCCTTCTGGCCTTAAAGTCTAAATGGCAGTAAATTAATCAGTGTTTGGCCATGTGAACTCTGATCCAATTAAGAGTAGGACCATCTTCCACCAGGTTAGAGAAAAGGGAAATTGGAACAATCAGGGAGGTGCCAGCAATCTTTAACTTAGCAGGGCCCATTTCTATTTTCTTTTACACCCTAAATTCCCATAGAAGAAGGAAGTGTGGTTAATTCTGTGAAAGTAGTCTAGGGATGGAAGCTTGTTCTAATGAGTTCAAAGTAGCTTCAATGGCTAAAGATTGTAGGCTATGCAAATAAGATGTTGTGAAGACCAACAAAATATTTCAGTAGTCTGTCTTTTAAAACTTCAGCTAATATGTCTGCCTGCACATGGAATGACAATGAAAACCAGTTTGTAAATGTAAACAAAAATCTCCATAATCTTTTTACAAACCAATCAATCTTCACATTGAAGTAGTAATTACACTACTATTGGATGTTTCCATTTAAGAAATGATTCAGAAAAAACTCAGACATATTTGCAGATTGCAGTAAATTACCCAAATGTAATTGTACTAATGAATATCCTAGTTAAAACTGAAAATATTTTAGTGATCCTGGTAGACACGCACATATACCCTGGTCCATTTTTGTGGAAACTTTGTCACTAGAACACAGTGACAGATGCACAATATGTTCAATATCATCTTATTCTCTATGTTATGCAAGTTGATAGGAATTATGCATTATGCAATTTTATAAAGCAGTTTGTGGTCACCATGTGTTATTAAGAACTGCTGTGTGTACAGAAGAACTGCATCTGACACACGCTGCAAAAGTTCTAGACTATCAGTTTGCTTGAAATGTCTGTATCCCAGCCTAGCCACCATTCTTTGGGAATAAAGAGCATCAACTATTGGACATTTTAGTCCGTTTATCAATCATAAAGGCAAATAATCATATTTATTTTGTCAATCTAATGACTGAATCTTAGTATTCTTTCATTATACAGTAGCCACCCATACAAAGTAACTATAAAATCTATAACTACCTTAATATATTGTGCTACTTTCTGTGTCGAAGAAAGATTCTTTTGGGCCCTCTTCATGCTAGATTTATGTTCTCTGAAGATTTAAGTATATTAGTATGGGTAATCTCACTCCATTACCTTCTATAAAACAAGATCTGTGACTTCCTCCCTGGTGTGCATTTACCATATCGAAATGGGCTACTATTTTCATATTTAACTCACTGGTAAGTCATAAAATCAGCTTAAGGAGTGTCTGCCCAAAGAACTGAACATACAAGATGATAAAAGGGAGCTTTTATTACTCATAACAGTATTGATGTTATATTAAACATTGAACATTGACTATTGTTTTGAATTGCAGCCTTGGCACCCTCATCCAGCCTCCCTTTCAGCTTTGAAATAGACCAAATTCAGAAATTTACAAGGCTTTTAAAAAACCTAGATGAAGCAATTAAATCTCCAGATTGGAGGATGTGATCCTTTAAAGGCCCTTTACAGAATATCAAAAGAAAGAGAGGATTATATTTAGCAGGTGTGAGAGCCCACGCAGGACATTTCATTGAGAAAGAGCCTGATATTATCCAGCAACAAATACTTAAATTAATATAAAACATCTTGGGGGGAAGTGGATTTTCTTTTCTTTTTTGAAGTATTAGGAAATTATAACACTTTGTGGCTCCTTCAAACCTGAAAGGTCCAAATATACATGAGTCAATGGTATGTTAAAAAAAAAAAAAAAAAAAGGGGGCGGGGGGAGTTTAAAACAAAGACTTTGGTAGGACTGGGGAGACAAAGAGTGGGGGTAACTGACCATTTGCCTTAAAGCAAGCAGAGTAGCTCTGCATTTTCTTTTTCTGTCTCATTCATAGATCTGCACCACTACCTAATGGATCAAACCAGAAACAATGGACCACAGACTAAGCCGCTAACACAGCCTATGGCATAGCCTTCTGAATGGAGCTATGGAGTCAGATTATTCTTAATACAGGGCTAGGTGTTCCAGGGAAGTGAGAGTGGCGAACTTAAAAGAACCAGATTATTGACAGCTGCCAAACCAGGTTTGTGTCTGCGTACTCCACCTTGATCATGATGGAAGCATCATCTTTCTTTCTTCTGTTTTCTGGATCCCTTGAGATGCAACCTTTCATTACAGAGTTAGTGTATTCTGATTGGTTTGTCTCTATCTAGATAACATACTCAATGATCTAAAGTGGAAAACTGGACTCTGTGGTTTTGTGGGGAGATGTACCCTCCTCTATTCCTTTATTCACCAGTGTGAGGTCCTAAATTTTAACCAGTTGCTATTTTTTGCCTTTCTTGAAAACAGTGAATGTAATGTCCCAAAGCCCCATGTGTTCTTGTTATAACTTAATAAAGCCACTCAATCGACACTTAACTATCTGTAGCACTAATAGTGTTTAATAGAAAGGAAGGGCCAATTAAATAACACTTCTTACTGACAGATAGGCCTAATCCAACATTTTATTTTGCATTCAAGCTACCCACAAAGATGCATTATCTGATCTCCATAAATTGATTAAAGTGATTCAGGTCTGGGATAGATGTGTCCTGTCCTGTCCCACCTTTTGTTTAACTTTTACCTGTATTTCCTTACTCACTATTAACCTGATGTGGACACATTGAAAGCTGTCCTTTGAGACCTAAATAGCCTGTGCTTACTGTTTTGTCAGTAATTCAAAAATCTATGATGTGCTAAAACCAATCTCACTCATATGACTAGTCTTAGTGGGAAGGACACTTGTGAGACGTCTAGATTCATGCATTGCCAAGTACCGTTTGGCATCTACAGAGTTAAAGGTCCTCGGAACCTATAAGATCTGGTCTAGGTAGTATCTAAAATCAGTACTAGACCCACTTTATTTTTTCCTTAAAAACAGGAAATGGAGCCCTGAAGGCTTTTTAACTGGAGAGAGAGAGAGTTGGGAGGGGGTATACTAGCTCTGCCCATATCCAGCCCTGAGCCTGACCCAGACTTGGGGGTCTCTCTGTGTGGGTTCCCCCCCATTATTTTGGCAGACTTTTTGGAATGTCTGGGAGCTAAGGGCTTTGCTTCATGGAGCAGAATTCTGAAGCAAGAAAAAGAGAAAGTTATAGACTAAACCACAGAAATGTAAACATGTCTGCAGCTAAAATAACTCCACTTTCATTGAAAACACTCCTCACTCACAATCAGACTTCTGTGTGCTATGCTCAATAAAACTGCACGTTAATAGTAAGCAATTAATACATTATGTAGCCCTGCTTTAAAAACCGAGACACCTTTAATTATGATTATTGTTATGATCATTAAAGGAGTACTCGATTTTCTTCTTTATATGCTTTGCTCTCGATTCCGACTGTTAGCTGGGGTTCCTAGCTGGGAAAGTGCAGGAGAGGTGTCTTTCAGAACATGAGTGAGAGCAGCATGAAATGAACAGAAGGAACATTGCACAAGATAAAGTAGGGAAAATGCAGTTTCAGCACGGAGATAAGAGACAAAAGACACCTCGGTAAGGACCCTTTTTAATTTTAAAATTATTTTTTGTTTTGTTGAGGGAGGGGGTAAGTGTGTGGTGGTGGTGCTGGTGGAGGGCAGGTTACAATCTAAATGACACTGAGGAGACCCTCACGTGGTTTGATGGATCTCACTTCACCCCTTTGTCTTTTTGTCCTGGTTTTTTTCATCCTTTCCATTACTGATGTGTTCTTCTCGGGGTTTTAAAATTAATGAACTGTCCTTAGCATAGCTGTCTCTGCGTTCCCTTCACTTCCTCAACTTTAACATCTCACCCCGCGCCCAGTGCCTTCACGCTCCCCTCCTGTCTCTACAGGAGTGGAACCATGTTATGACCAGCTTAAATAGTTGCCCTGCATCCCACCCCTCACTTTCATTGAATCGAGGTATCTGTTTTTTACACTTTAACGTTGGCTTTCCCTCGGGTCCGGGCGCAGTCTTTGCAGATAGCCATGCCTTGTAAAGTTCAGTGTTCCGGGGAGAAATACCCTGGACGCCTGAGTTCTCTCCTCCAGCCCAGTCTGGTCAGTTTTCAGCTTTCATTCCTCCCCCCCCGCCCCTTCTGAGCACCCGGCTCCCCGGCTGGAGGGGACACCCCGAGCCCGCTCCTTCTAGCCCATCAGGTCTCTCTCACACACCCACCCACCCCATCTGCTGGGTCCATGCCCACCCGGGGCCGCGTGCTCGGAGCGCCCGGGGCTGGCCGCGGCGGGGCTGGTCCCCCCGCACGGAGGGAGCTGGGGCGAGCCTGGGCAGTTGCCCTGCTCCATGATTGGAGCAGGAGAGAGGCTCGCTGAGCCCGGGGCCCGCGCTCTGGGCCGAGCCCATTCCGAGTGAAGTGAGTCAATGCAGCCTGCGGCTCCCCCGTGCACTCACTCACTCACTCACACGCTGGCGGCGGCGGCGGCCACTGGCTTCACCCGCAGCCCCGGACTCGCCCCGTGCCCGGCCTCTCCCGGTAAGTCCCTTCTCCTTCCCGCTCGGGTCGCTTCTTGGGAGGAGGGGGGGTACACGGGACGCGGCCTCGGCTGCCCCCCCAGCGCCGCCGCAGCAGCAGCAGCTGGGGCTGGGGTGGGCAGGGAAAGTTTGACAGGGAGCAGGGCGCAGTTCCCCTGCCTCTCGGGAAGCGCCGGGCGGGCGCCTGAGGGGCTGGCTCAGCCCGCTGGCAGGCTGGAGATGCCCCCCGGGGCGGCACAGGGCCGGGAGCGCTGGCAGCCAGGCGCCCTCACACTGGTTGCACTTCCGCTGGGACAAGCGGCGGCTCAGCCTGGCCACCGCCTGCCTTGTGTCAGCCCAGCCCCGCGCAGGGTTCAGCGGGGGCTGCTGTGCGGGCGCTCGCGGCAGTGGGCGCAGGCTGGCCGCAAAGCGCAGGGCCAGGTGCTGCTCCAGGAGGCTGGGCTGGTTGCGAGCAGGGTGACAGGCTCCGCAGGGAAAGTTTCCTGCCGCTGGGATGGGTGCGTGTGTGTAATGTGGGTAACGTTACTTCCCCAGGTGTGTGTGGGGGGGCGGGGAGATATCCCAAAAGAGGTTAAGGATCCTCTGAAAACGTGCTGCCACCAGTAAGGTCATGGGGATAGATTCCCTGGTTATTGGTAAAACATGTGGAGCCTTCCGTAGGGCAACCGAAACATGGGACGTGTGCTCGGTGGTGTTTGCCCGGCAATAAGGGTTGAATTAAGATGCTGCCTTGGTTTTGGGTGAATGGCTGAAAGACATCCTTCGGAGGGAGTTTCTATACAGCCCATGCATGTGTGTATAACGCACAGCATATAGCTGTGAAATATGCGCCATCATCACCTTGGATTGATTATACGTGGAATAGTTGCAAGAGAAGTTTTGTGCCTTCAGAGTTGCTTGTTATTACTGATATTTCTCAGTAATCCCACATCTTTCCACAGCTTTACCTTTTCAAGCACTTGTATGCTTTGAATATAAGTGCTTATTATTTTTGGTTTGATCATTAGATATACTGAATGGTAGCAGGAGAAGTATCTCTTTATGTCTACTGTCCCCACACTTATCCTTTTAAACTTTCTTTAGTTTTAATTTCTTCATACACTTTATTTTCTGCCTCGCTGCTGGCTTTGTGGCTATTTCCCTATGATTTTTCCATATTTTGTTCCTTTTCATAATAGCTCCAATATTTTTCTGTCCTCCTACAATCAATAATTCAATTAACTGGTATCAATGGTCCCTTTTAAGTTGTACAGCTCTTGCAAAAGTTAAATGGTGTTTTAAATGTATTTTCCTAAACCTTTAATTAAACTGAAATTATCTAGTGAGATTCAGAATTGGTTGTGGTACATTTTAGATTAAATGCACTGATATAAATATATTTAGTGATCAAATGACTTTCTAGCAGTATTTTGAATGTAAATAATCATAGTTACAAAACTAAAACTGTAAGTTAAAATTAGCATAAACTTCCATTCATGACTGTATTTACTATGAATCTACAGAACAGCAAGTAAACTTTTACTTTTTAGTCAAAATTCTAATCCTACTGTATATTAACAAAATATTTGTGTTGGAGTAATAGTTTGTAGTTTACATTCTGTCCATGTAATTTTGAGTTCACTAGGGAAAGTGGGATACTTAGGTCTATGGACTGCACATGGAGAACTGTCACATTCCTTAGTTTTAACCCTTTATCCACTTGCATAGTTTCATTCAAGCAAATGGAGCAGACTGAAAAGACTGCTTCTGGCTAAGACAAGAAATCAAAACTTTAATGATATTAGCTTAGGTACTGTTGAACGCATATTTGATAAATACATTTTGATTACCTGGGGAGGGTAGGGACTTTAAATTGAGTGTTTGACAGCTTCTTAATTAAAATAAATAAGAAAAGGCAAATCAAACCGATACACGATTAAAGTGATGTGATACAAAGATATTTTGGTGTTGAATATCTTATCCATTTCTTAAAAGAAGACTTTTTTTTAAAATATTGGGATATTGTAAATTAAGTTATAATTCAGGCCTTATAGCACTGTTTCATACACACATGCATGCAAACACTGGCTAACTTGCTACAAATTTGTGCAAATCTTTGCAGGAAAAAAATCCTCAGCTCAAAAAGCACTTCAGGATTTAGTTTTGAATAGCATCCACCCCCACCTTCCCCCAATTTATTCCCAAAGGTTAAACAAATCATATAGTACTGGATAGAGTTACATGTTACAAGAATTTTATAAATGATCTGTCAGTGTAAGCTCTAGATGTGTTTAGTGTGTTTTTACCTTAGGAGTTTAATGCTGCTAAAATGTTACTCAGTTTTGATTATATGCTGTGCAGTCTTTAGTCCCCAAATACATACTTTAACTAAGTGTCTTGTATATTAGACACATCTTTCTCCTTATACTTTTGTAGTAGTGTCTCCTCATCCCTTTTATTTCTCTTCTTGAACTACTTTTAATGAAGTTTGCTTTGAATTCTTTGTCATACTTTCAAACAATACAAGACTTTAATTCCATAGAGGGATTTAAGTGAAATAAGCCATGAGAGCAAAATGCAGGTTGTCACAAATTTTAAAATGGACTTTGTTGTTGCAAATTTGTTATTTGTATATGATCAGGTTAAAATTTTTCTATCTAAAATGACAATTTAATTTCCATAGCTAAAATCATGGTTGCTTTGAAAATATTCTTTGTCATATTGGTATTATGACATGAGGCACTGATGTGACTTTGCTATCTGCTGTTATATGGAAAACTTATTTTGTGCATGCACTGTGCACATGTGTAAACAAATATAAAATCCTTGGATAACAACCTGTGATCCAACAACATCACATGAGCAAAATAACTTACCACTGATAAGGCAAATCCCTTTCTATTCTACTCCACACAAAATGCCAACTTTCCTCTACCTAGAAGTAAGGCTAATTTGATTGGTTCTCTCTCACCAGAGTAGTTCATTAATTATGCACTGTCAGTAGTGTCCAGGTACTCAGCAAAGCACTGTTTCATCTCGTTCCTAGTTATATGCACTTAATTAAGTTAGGGCTAAAGAACTCCAAAATCTTTTGCAGTCATGATGGTATCTGGGCATACAAAAATGTTACATTTCTTTCCCCTCCTTTTATGTGTGTGTGCAATTCTTAAATACTGGAGAACTTAACAGAATGGGTTAGCAGAGCCTTTTAATGTAGTGAGACCGAAAAGGACCTTTTAATTGAAAACATCTTTTAGAAATGTTTTAATTACTGTGGAACTGGTTATTTTCACGGTAAATACATTTTTCTGGAAAAGGCAAATGGACAAATGTACGGTTATGCCTTACTTTCTTTAATCATGCAAATACTGTAGTTATGTGGAAGTCAATGGGACCTTCTCCAGCTAGAAGTTGCTTACAGGGAGTGTTTGCAAGAAACGGTCCTGTGAGCCTGATACAGCTTCCATTGAGGTCATTGGTGCAAGATCAAGCCCTGCATATCTAATGCTGCACAGCACATTTTTCTAACATGCAGTTGCTCTTTTAGTCTATATTTTATATTTGCAACTTTACCATCTGTTAATTTAAAGAGATTTTGTTCATAAAATACATTTTAGCAAGACACTTTCAGTATAATGTTCATCCATGGGTTGAAAAAAATTACCTTTCATGCGATAATGTCTTACTCTGGTTTTCATTATAGCCTGCAGCTATTCACTTTCACAACCAACAGAGTATTTTTTCCCCCTCTTATGGTCTTGGTCCTGCACTTCTTACTCAGGCAAAGCTCCCACTAACGTCAAACATCTCTGAGAATTTTGTCTGAATGTAGAATTCAGGTTTGAGTTCTACGGGTTCACATTTAATTTGGCATTCTGCAAGATGATGAAGTAGGAGGGCAAAATTTAATATGCTTACTTGGTAGCATAGTAAGACTAGTGTAGGTAGAAAGCTGGCAGTCTAAAATTACTTTGCTAAATTTAAATGTAAGTAAAAAATAGGCAATAGAAAAAAAATTAAAGGGTATGTCTAAATATGGAGCTGTGGACATATCTGTTA